CAGGCTGGAGTGCAGTGGTGCAATCTCAGCTCAATGCAACCACCTTTTCCTGGATTCAAGCAATTCTCCTGCCTCAAGCCCCCGAGTAGCTGGGATTACAGGCAGATGCCACCACATCAGCTAGTTTTTGAATTTTTAGTAGAGATGGGGTTCCACCATGTTGGCTAGGCTGGTCTTGAACTCCTGACCTCAGGTGATCCGCCTCCCTTGACCTCCCAAAATGGTGGGCTTACATGTGTGGACACTGTACCCAGCCAACGGTCTTGATTTTTAAAAAATTAGTTTGGGCAGATAAATGCTTTTAAAGTTTTTATATGTTTTTAATTAGTGAAATTTAATTTTTAAAAATGATATATGTAATTTATATTTTTAGACTACCTGGGTCCCAAGCCTTACTATTCTATTTACCAGTTTTATGATCGTAATTAATTTTATGGCTCATATTGAAAATTACCAGAGTTTGGCTGATGGAAAATATTTGTTACACCTTATCATAAATACTTTAGAAGCTTCAGAATCCCATAAAATATATTACGCAGTTCTAAAATAAGTTGAAAAAATTCAATATTCTGTGAATTGTTATTTCAGGTTGACATTCCTGATTTGTAACAGCAGATGTCTTACTGCCTTGCTTGTTGCACTGAAAACATTCTATATCCAAGTTTCCTATTAATGCCTTATCACTCAATATTTTTATTTAAGCTGGGAAGAAAGACGAACTGCCTCTGGAAGAATTCAGTATCTAAACCATATAACAAGAACTACACAATGGGAGCGCCCAACACGGTAAGGACATAAAAATATTTCCCATGGCCTTGCTAGCCACCCTCCCAAAGTCCTTTTCTACTTACCTGTCAGCTTTACTAGATTTTTTTTCTTGGTTTATGCTGTTAGAGATCAGTAGATCTTATAACAGATGCCATTATTATTTTTTAAAGCTTATCTTCAACACTTTGACAGGTCATGCTGTCATTGTAGCTCCAGGGCCTGCAGTTGTACCCAATAAATATTTATTGAATGATGCCAGGTGTGGTGGCTCATGCCTGTAATCCCTGCACTTTGGGAGGCTGAGGTGTGCAGATCACTTGAGTTCAGGAGTTCGAGACCAGCGTGGGCACCATGATGAAACCTCGTCTCTACCAAACAAATTACAAAAAATTAGCTGGGTATGTGGTACATCCTGTGGTCCCAGCTACTTGGGCTGCTGAGGTGGGAGGATTGCTTGAGCTTGTGAAGCGGATGTTGCAGTGAGCTGAGATCATGCCACTGCACTCTAGCCTGGGTGACAGAATGAGATGCCATCTCAAAAAAA